CTTGGCCAGCTCCTCTGCCAGCTCCCTCAGTATCCTCAGGTGGATCCCGTCTGGCCCCATGGACTTGTGAGCATTCAGGTGGAGGAGCAGGTCGGTGACTGCCACCTCCTCGACAACTGGGGCTTCATTCTGCATCCTATCTCCATCTCCCAGCTCAGGGATCTGAAAACTCCGAGGATGACCAGTCTGACTATTAAAGACTGAGGCAAAGAAGGCATTAAGTACCTCGGCCTTCTCTTCATCCTTCGTGGCAAAGTTTCCCTCCACACCCAACAAAGGAGGGAGATTCTCCGTGGCCCTCCTTTTGTTGCTGATATATTTGTAAAAACATTTTTTGTTATCTTTAACGACAGTGGCCAGTTCAAGTTCTAGCTGGGCCTTCGCCTTTCTAATCTTCTCCCTGCATAACCTCACAACAAGAGTAAAATGGAATGTGACAGCTGAATGAATACCGCAAATTAGCTGTTGAGCTAACATTCAGCAGTGAGAGTCTTGCAGACGTAGTGGGGCAAACTATGATAACATATGTTCACTGAAAGCATTTGAATGATGGTAGCAATAAATCCAGACACCAAATCTAAAATGAATAAGTAAATAAAGCAACAAAAAAATATGGCTGCATACTTATCTCTATGTTTTCTCTACTTTGTATGAAAAGGAGAAAGATGGGGAAAAATTTATAATAATGCTCACATTCGTGAAGCTACAAAAACACTGATATACAATATCACCTGTAGTCTCTTCCATATCCATCCCTAAATTTCAAAATAGTAATTTGATACTAACAGAGCTTTATTTAATAACGTTTAGCGACAAGTCCTTAAGTTTTGAAAGAACCCAAACTAGAAATCAATGAATAAAACTGACTTCTTCCTTCTCCGTCTGTCCTCTTAATGACTACACTGATAGCGTCTTTCAGCATGACTGAAGGACACACGCACCAAGGCAGTCCTCACCGACAAGGGCTTGCCTTCAGGTATAGCACAGGGACCAGCTAGCTAAAGCATGACAGCTGATTAATTTTCAAGTTAAAATACAAAGACTACTTCCAGCCTATTGAAGGGGGTAGGGTTTTTTTTTTCTTCTGTTTTTTTAATTATGTTGAATCTCCTGGCCAAGAGAATGTCTAAAGAACTCCTCACTACACTGCTGGTCTGAACATCCCAAGACAACCATAACGCAGCAGTCTTGGTAACACAGGATGAGTACAAACCATCTCTAGCACTGTCATCTCCAAGTACACGAACGTAAGTTCATCGAGTTTTTGGGTAAGAGAGGACACAACATCCAAACCACAGCCACACCTTTCAATTTCTGAAAAAGACTCCATCTGTTTTGCCACAGGTTCAGCTGCATTAAAACACAGGTATGCAGACATGAATATTTGAGTTTCCCACAACAGTCAAACTTGCTCTCCTTACCGTACATTTTGTGGGTCACACCCTTCTTCTGACTAACTCTGCCACACCCAGAAAGTCAGCATGATTGCTCCTACAACTTCACAACTCTGACATGAGAGTTTTCAACCTAGTGTTTTAAACCCTTCAGCATCTATGTCTTTCTCTTTTCTATGACCTCTTTCCATGTCTAAGACATGAAATTAAGACACACTGACATTCAATCTTCAACTGATCGATCCTATTCCTCTGCATTTTGTTAAAAGCACAAACTGTTTTAATTAGCTTTTCTATTTGACCCCTTGAACAAGCACAAAACACTCTGAAATTTACTTTTGTCTTAATAATAATAAAATAAACATTTTCAAGAAATCTGTTTCAACTACAGGTTTTCAAAAACCTCTACTTCTAACTTTAGTTAATTCTTAGCTTCTGATATTTAAAAGTACCTTTTTGCTCTCCATTTGATACTCTGAAAAGACAACAATGACTTCAGAAATCTCTCAATCTTATTTTTACAAACTTTGGAGAAACTGAATTCCAGGTCCTCCAGTTACTTCTAAGAAAATTTAAAACGTATCTTGTGAAGAACAACACATCATCTCAGATGTCCCAGAATATTAATAATCTGGATTAAGATTTTAAAAGTACATGTGAGAAAAATCTGATCTACCTTTTCCCCTACCAGTTCATGCAAAGTTCTGTGGAAATGGGCTGTCCATTAAAATACATAAAATACATACTCAGGGATATTTAATGCATTTAATAAATATTTCTATCCCACTGGTATAAAAAGATAATAGTTGTCTTTCCAAAATAAAAACTTGTATTCATGAAAAAAATTTGATTGTGTCCCCAGTATACTAATTAGTTAAGCTGATAACTCATCTTTGCCCTCAGGTAACTATTCAGTTAACAAATAACTTGCTGCTTCTGCGTTTAAACTACAACGTCATTTCAAACATACCAATAAAATACACCAAAAACACTCTCTATCTGTCTGTCCAGTGATTCTGGATAAGCCACTTGTCCTTTGTGTATCAGTTTCTGCAAAGGTAAAAAATACGGATTAAAACATTAACTTCTACAAATTTGTTGCATTAAAGATCTACTTTAAGATCTATTGATGAAAGTTAGGTAAGAACTAGGCATCCTTCCTAATGCATTTTTGGGCTAGGCATACTAAGCAATTAAAAAAAATCAAAAGACTTGACAATCTCTTTGAGATATTTTTAGTTTTGCTCTTTTTTTTTCCCAAGTTCTAGTAACTAGATCAAACACATTTTCTACCATGACTGCAATAATGTCATCTGACCAGAATCTAGTAAATCCCTTCAAATCCTATTTCATTTTTTTTTTCACTTCACCACTTTGTTCTATAGCATCTTCAAGAAAAAGATAAAAAAAAAAAAAAGGACTAAAACTGTCCTTAGGCTCAGTACAAATTTTCAGTGGCTGAAACACTCTCATCAGCGTACTCAAACCAGGGACCACACCTTGCCTTACGTGTCCGCACCATGTCCTAATTTCAGGATGACACATTGCGCTACCCACTCTCTCCAGCACCAACACATCCTCGCAAGCTCCTTTCCCCGCCCCAACCCACATTTTCCTGGCAAATGCTCTGAGCCCCTCTTCTATGGGAAGACTGACTACCTGCTTGGTGGGAAGAGGTAAGACCTGATACCCTCGTCCAGGGGAAGAAGGTAACACGACTCAACTCCAGGTTGCAGCATAATACAGCAGACTGTATTCATGGCGGTACACTATGGACTGCTGCTTGCTAAACGTCTGCCTTTGTGTCCTAAAAATCCAGTGTAAGTCTACTGCCGGCGCCTTCAAATGACAAGAAGCTAGGAAAAAATGTATTTGGATTAAAGGACATTAACTACCGTACTAAGAACTTCAAGTTTCATTAAGGACCTCGTGTGTTAACCTTACTGATAGCTTGAAAAGAGACAAAGTTGGCTTAAAAGAACCCATCTTCTGGTCGCAGTTCTCTAATTTCCACTTGTTTGCACACAGTCATTTATCAGATGTTGACTCTCCACAGGTGTTAAGGAAAAACAAGATTCATGCTTAAGTGCTTGATGATCTTGGAGTAAACAACTATTAACGCTGTATTTCATTGGTGATAATGATAGTGAAGAATGCCTCAACTGCAAGATGATCTAAATTCTTTTAAAATTCAGCTTCTATATTTTTTTTCAGTAAACAATGCTTACGTCAATAATAGCCATTAAGAATATAAAGAATACCATCATCTAGACTTTTTCAGAAGAAAAAATTCTTCCCAACTCATTCAGGTAAAAACCCATAGTTTTTGCATGAGAAGATCTGCTTCATTTTTTCAAAGGATTTCCACTTTATTTCCTGGAACGCTTCAATTCTAGAATTCAGGTTATTTAATAAATGTGAAAGCTTTTGAGAAAAGTTAAAAGTTTATAAGTTAAAAACAGAAACCGCTACCTACAACACTGTTTATTGTGTATTTGCACACTTGCAACCATTCCCCCTGTCTATAATAGAAGACGACACCTGTTCGTATCCAGGTTGAGTGCCTTTCAACAGCTTTTCATCTGACACCCAAAAAACTCTTGCAATCCACAGGCTACTTGTGGGTTGATGTAGGAAAGGGAGAGCGAGCTACAGAGCAGCCTCTGCCAAACTATGACAGAGCCCATAAATAGCGAGCTGAGGTTTGTCCTCCACCCCTCATCACTGCCCCGCTCCAAGCTTTTCCACCGTGAGTGTTCCTCTCCCCTCCTTTGTGCCTTCGCTAAAATTAGGGTGACATTGTGACTTTTCAGCCGATAATCAAATCAGAGGGATGGAGGGGAGGCGAGGGGAAGCAGGAGGATGTGGGGAAGAGGGTTAGTTTTGGCTGGACCAGTAACCTGATCCAGCTGATCAAATGGCCAGGCAAGCATTAATACTGGCAAGTCTATTCATTTGCACAACTGCAGAATTAACAGCTCGCAGCACATGTGAAATCACACACCTTCAGAAGAGCAAGTCTGCTGAGATGAGGTCTCTATTTGCTCTATGGGGGTCCACACCTCACTCAGAAGTTTTTCTAGGAGATCCACATATCGTAAGTTTTTCAAACCCACTGATCTTCCTAATTTAATACTGAAGGAATACTAAAAGCAAGACATTTTTAGTCACAACCGTATTAACCATTTCCATGAGTTTCTAGATTCTGTTAACGAAGACTTTTAAAGCAAAAATTATATTTATGTGAACATTCAAGAATAATTACTATTCAGAAGTGGAAAAAATGAAAACATTCAAACAACAACTTTTTTTCCTACCCTTAGTCCTCAAAAACCCATCTTGTTTCTGCTCAACAACCCCATCCTAAAGAAAGTCTGGAGGATATGGCCTCCTTTTAGTACTACCATAAACCTAAATAAAGAAGCAGAATGATCTGAATGAGGATAGCAAGTAGGAGAACAGAGAGAACCCTTGGACCAGAGGGTTCCCCAAGGTTTGGACATGACCAGGTACTTGACTCAGTAAACTAAGCAAGGAAGTGGCTGTAGCAAGTGAAGCTACAGGAAGGTGGCCTTCTGTGTGAAAAAAATGTGGGATTAAAAATACTTCCGTATCTCTACCTACAATGCACTTGAAGACAGTATTTCAAAAGAAAAAACAAATTAAAACTGTGTAAAATTGTAATATGAAATCTTAAGATTAATGTATTGAAATTTATATCATAATAAAAACAACATTCAAGGTCTGAAAGATAAATCAGAGAAATAATAGAAGGTAGTTATTAAGTATTTCGAATGAGGGATTGCTGAAGCATGGCAACAAATTTCAATGCACGTAATCTCCTCCACGTGTACAAAAAGAACGGTTTCTTCATTTCAGGTAATTTAAGTAGCTCGGCTCAACTATTTATCCATTTAAAATGAAGCAATTGACTGGAGATTGGAGAAAAGCAAAAAGCCCATTTCCCAAATTATGAAAACAGCCAAACTGAAGCATCTGCTCTGAGTGCAGCTGGACACAAACTTTCCACCAAAGCTTTACATTAGTTACGTCATTAACATACACTACTAGAAGCACAAAGATAAAACCACAAAATTCATAAAAGACTATAAAAACTATGACACTTGAACAAGCTCGTGAATTCTGTACTTCTGGTAGGAGTACTAAAGCTACCTGCTTTACACCTAGTTCAACTGGAGTCGAAGCTATTATAGCATACACATACTCAGCAGGGCAAAATGAAAAAGCTTAGAAGATAACACATTAATCTTACAACTGGTTGAGAAGTGGCCTGTTTTAATAGCTACCAAGCAAGAAGAAATTAAATTTATTCAGGAAAAGAGTCCAAGCAAGTATAAATGCAAAACAACACTTGAACAATTTAAAGCAAAATTAATGGTTAAAATAAACCATGAAAATCCCATCAAAGGTAATAAAGACAATATTTCAAGAGTAAGCTCAGAGACAGAAAAATTGTTAGAAAAAGCAGCAAAGCATGAAGAGTACAAAAAAAAAAAAGATAGGATGGAAAAGGCTGACAAAATATTGTCAGCTCCCGTTGCAATAAGCGGGTTCATGAGTGATATTACCCACATGCAAAGTAATCCATTAGAGCTAAAACATCTAATAAACAAATCAGCAACCTTTAAAATGGTCACAGCTACAAAATAAGAGCAGTGAAAGCTGCAGCTCACTGACGCCTGCTTGCTGGATGCTTTGGTTTGAGAAGAGTTTTATGAAGTTTTACACAGAAATCGTTTAAAGCATCATTAGATTGGAATGAAAACTTTTCCACAGTATAGCAAATACTCAACAATTTAGGGCAGGACGTGCAAAACTATATCACAACCAAGTGAAACTGCAGGGGGATGGAGGTGATCAGAATGTAATTACCTGAGCTAATTAACTTGCATAACCCCAAGCTGTATGCCACTCTTGCAAAATTGCCATGGGATC